GTGTGGATATTGCACTTTTGAGTCTGTTTTCCCATGGGAAGCTCTCCAGAAGAAAGGATAGGTTCTCACAGTGCACTTTGTGTTGCACTGTGAAAATAACAATAGAAGTAATTCCCTTATTATGTCACTATAACAGATAACTGATGATCCTCATTGAAGACTCACATGTTCACATAAAAATATTCTTGGTATTTTTATTTAAGAAACTTGTTCCATATTTGTATACTGACAGTCATAAACAGTATATTTATATATAATTATATATATATATGTAATATTTTTATAAATTAGGACATAATATTGGATTTTGCGGGTTTTTAATTTTGAAGCCTTATTTAACTGACAATGTAAAAATTGAAAGATGGTACCTGCTACTTAATTTTTATTTTAGAAAAATTTTGAAATGCCGCTATGATTCATTGTAGGAAACGCATAGAAATGCAGGAAGCAGTACAATAGATATTGGTAGAAGCAACAGGACAACAGACACAAGTTCCCAGTAAGGGAAAAAGCAATCCTAAAATGAAGCGGAAAAGGGAGAGACAAAAAGCTCACGGCTCAAATGGCTCATTTGCCATTAAATCAGGACCCAATGAAGGTGTGTTACAACAAGGAAATCTGATTTTCAGAGGAAATCAAACTTTTATGAAAATTTGGCTGTTTATGTCAAGTATTGACTTCCACTTGCAAAAAGACAGTAAACATTTTGATCTTGACTTTTTTGAACCTAAAAATAAAGTTAAGCCAAAATACTAATTAATTTTAAGAGGATATTACTTGCAATCTCTGCAGTTAATCTCCATTCTTTCTTGGCTGCTAATTTGCATGTCTCAAGTCATAATAGCTGTGTAAATTAGTGGTATGAGGAACACTAAACTGGTATCTCAAGAGGTGCCATTGACAAATGTGTCATTCTAGGGTTCATTTGGAAGTTACTCGGCCATATACTGGTTTTGATGTAAGTTGTTGAAAAGGGCTTGTGTCCTTTTTCAAATGTCTGTGAATGCAATGCATTCAAATGAGAAGGTACAAAAAAATTACTACTTTGAAAATTCTAATTTAAAGTCTAGAAGTAGATAAAAAGACACTAAAACCACAAGTCTTTGAGATTAATAATACTAATACATGCTAAGAAACATGAGAAACTGTGTGCTTTGATGCAGTTTGGAATGGCAGTGCTATAATGCCATAATATTTATTTGGATCATTGTGTTTGCCATCAGGGTCCCTAAGTGGTATTTGGAAGTACATCTTTGTAATAATTTTACGTGTCAATGAGATTTTTAAAATCCTAAACTTAATTTAATTTGACAATAAAGACACTGTGTATAAAAGGAGTGGCCAACATAAAATAAAAGAAGCACTATTTGAGGCAAACAGAGTAAGAAATTAATGAGAAACTGAAGTCAGTGGCTTTGTGGATTTCTTAATCACCAATATGGACATATTTCCTATTCCTTGTGAATTTTCTGAATTCTTTTTCTTCTAATGCCCGCTTAAATAATAATTGTCAATATAACAGCACATTAAAATTATATAAGTATTTTAATACCCTGATTTATACTGGCACTTAAGAACAGACTATCCAGTATAATTACAAAAATTTGATGTTTCTCTTTTTTATATAAAGTTTTGCCTGATTAAATGACAAATTTTCTTAGTCATCACACAGTCTTGTTCCCCTTTGTACTCTGAAATAGCAAGAAATCCACAAGTTTCAGTTCCAGTTATCACAAATGCTAGAATAGAAAAAATGTGAAGGACACAACATTTGAAAAAATATTTAATTGTTTTGGCTGCTTCTTGATTAAACTTGGAAAGGTTTTAGCCTTGCATTAGCAAAATGGACTACTAAAATTGCTTGATTTTTTGTAAGACTTTTGTATTTGACATTGATAATATGTGCATCACATCTACATTAGATTCATTAGTCTACTAATTATATTATCTTATTTTATCTAAACTATAAACATCTCTCAATCCGCTCTCTAATGAACATAACAGCATTTGGAATTCTCAGTGCTCTTATTACAGCAGTTTCAAGTCCTGGACTAAGGTTCTTCCATTTTTCTCTGCGTCTTAAGACTCCTCATTTGAAGAATTTTCAGTATTCAAAAGCAAGTTAATTCATACACACGTAATAGTGTTTAATAAAAAGCCTGGATTTTGCAAAATGTTGAAGATAATTTTCTTTCTTCAACAGTCAGCATAGAGAATGGGATGAGAAGTTGGTCGACAGGATTCTGTTAGAAACATACGACTCAACTTTGCTATTTCATAAATTCCATGTGCTATATTACTCACTAACCACATCTGAGAACCTAAAATACTCTATCCATAAGACATTATATAATAGTCTAAGTTCCATATTTAATAGCACAGTAAATCTAATTATTTTTAATAAAATAGCATTGTTTTTTAAAATAAATATGAAAATATGTCACCTCAATAAATCTCAGTATTGTTGTATAATAATAAGATACATATCTGTATATAGCATGATGGCTGTCTGGGGATTCCATTCCCATATAAATCAAAATATTGCTGTGACTGAGGTTTTTTTTAATTTGTTTTCTACAAATCAATTTATTTTTTACTCTTGTCTGGAGAAGCGATAAAAGTTAGCGGAAATACTAAGGCAACTTAAACCTCTTAAAAATACATAATCAGAGGGCATTTTCCTAAAAATGAATCATAAATTATAGGAAATAATATAATTTTCTAACATTTTTCTCTGTGTCATATGAATTATTGTCACAATGGCTCCTCAATCCACAACTATTTGAGGGTTTGGCCTGTAAATTTACACACCCTTTATTAAATCTTCATGCACAAATATAATTCTGTGAACATTGAAATTTTCAGAGTCTTATCATGTAAATTCCTTTGTAAATATCTGTATAAGTGGGAGTAGCTGAGGCTGTACCCTCAAGCTGTTTTCACAAAACAGTTTCATGTGTAGCTTATCTGGAAGAGCAGTACAGAATCGAATAGCAATTGCATCCCTTTGATATTAACACATAACCAGTGAAATGCTTTGAACTATTTCCATTAGAGGAGAGAGAAATTATTTGATAGACCATGGTCATTTACAAAGAATTCACAAAACCTTCTTTCTAAGAACACAGCATGAATCAAATAGCTGGAGACAATTTGTCTTCTCACACTTCTCAGCACTTTCCCAGGATTCCTCCCTCAGAGGCATTTTCAGTCGTTCCTCAGGGTCATTTTACCTTTTTGTCTCTATGGCATTTTGACTGTTTCTCTGACTTTGTTTGTCTTTTTCCAGGTGATTTGCACACAGATTTGTTCACATTCACTTCTTAGCACCATAGAAACTCCTTACTCTTCAATGTCTACCTTGTAACTTTGTATTTCAGTGAAATAACAATTTTTTAATGCTTCTTGTTCAAAACAGAAGTAGTAACAGCTTGCTGAATCTCTCCTGAATAAAGAGTGACTGTCAGCTTTATCGTACTAATTCTCTTTCCCAAATAAAGCCTTATGTGTTGTCTGAGGGCGAACTGTTTTTATAGTTATTTTAAAAACTGTTGAGATGATAAAATACTTTTCACATAGAATTCCTAGCCAAAATGAAAAATGTACCCAAAGGTCGAAAGAAGTGCAATGCTTACGTCATTTTCTTCCCCAGTGATGAGCTGTGTGAAGAACTTTAACCCACAGTCAATGCCTATGTCAGCTTTTGAAGGAGTTTTTAGTTTTATTCATGTTCCTCATAATCTTTTTTTTTTTGTTCCCTGGGCTGACAGGAAGTGTCTACCAGAAAGAGATCACCAATAATGCCCTGAATTTGCCAAGAGATCCCAGAATTCTGTTTAGAATGTCACAGTAAGAAAAAAAATGGGGAGGAACATGACAAAGTGCCTTCTGTTTACAGGGATCATAACTTGCAATATACAGGTTCTACACTGAGATAGACCATGGTAAACCTCAAGGACTTTTGCTGCTGTAACTTTGAATGATCCAAGGGCTTGAGACTAACAAGAAGTTATTCTTTTACACTGAAATATTCATACAAAATGCTACTTGTTCTCTTAGAAAGTCTTGCCTTTGCAACAGAAGCAAAGTTCAAAAAAGTCAAGATCCTTTGAGTGAGTAGATAAAAAAGGGCAGAATCTTTTTTTTTTTTGCCCATTTTTTGTGTCCTGCCTAAATTTCAGACATAATGCAATAAACGCCAGTGATTCACAAGATGTTATCTTCCTGAGAATATGAGTCAAAGAGAAAGAAAATGAAGTCAATTAGCAGGTAAAAAAAATGAAGGAAAATATTTGGATAATTTGTGAGTCACTATGCTGTACGAGCCATTGTGAAAACTCTATCAATATACCATAAAATTAACAATATTCTCTGTCTAGCCATCAGCAGATGTAACAGGCTTTCTCTGTCTAGCCATCAAGATAAACAGATGTAACAGGCTGACCACTTTATTATAACAGGTCTCTTTAGACTAGACTGATTGCAGAAAAAATTATGGAGAATGTTGAAGATGACATTAAAATATAGATGCTACATATGCTAGCATTTTTCCAAGACTTATTCAGACTGAATATCACATACCACGTAGTAGAGGGGACCCCACAGGCAGCCATAGAAGAGGATTAAGCAGGCTGTCAGAATTTTTCAGATAACACACAGATAGATCATGGCAGTTAATTTTGCCTTATTTTCAGATCATTTGCGTAATTTTCAGTCTGCCAAAAGTATGCATAAACTGGCTTTCAGAGCCATTATTCACACCCTTGCTGATCAAGAAAGGAGCCACATTTTATTATTACACCATGTACAGACTCACTCCTTAATAGACCTAGTTTTGGTGCGTACACAGCAGACCATCGCTGCTTGCTCCCTGAAGTGGTTCCAGCTCTTCCTGATTCTTCATACAATATCTGAGAGTATTACACTCATGGACTGAACATCACTTCGGGTGCTGAGAAATAAGCAAGCAGAACAACTGCTGGAGCAGGACACTGACTTACTGAGTCATAATCCAGAACAGTACCTTCCTTCTGTACACATTGAAAACTTTCTTCCTCAGTTTGTGATCTGCAAAATCTGCAAAAACAGAAATTTGGAGGTTACATATCCCCAAAGGAAATTGTAAGCCTTGAAGATATTTTGCTGATTATACAATATATAATGCTATTTCCTTCGGTTCCTTATAGGTGTAACTTCTTGCCTTGCTATCTTACTCTCAGTTACTGAAATACCAGATATGCCAATTTGTGAATGATATTTAAAAAACTCTTGCAGTCATTTTGTCCCACAATTTTTTCACAAGAGTATCAATTTTGGATGAAGGTCTGACAGAATTCTGCATGCCTCACACCTCTTTTGTTGTTTAAGTTATTCTTCATAATGCTCAGTCTTAAATTGTAATGTAGTTTACTCAGCACTTCTTGAAACTGCTACATTTCACACTAGTATCTGTACATAGTAGGTGAACTGATTCCTGCTAGGTTTTTTTAATGAGTACTACCTTTCCCAGTTTTGCAAAATTATAAATTCCTTAGATGTTAAAATAATAGCTATAGGGTTCAGCTGCTAAAATATTTTTGTTTTAAAATCTATATTGAATATTATGCTCGAGATAAATTAATCTGCATTCTGATCTTGTTTATATGAGTTCATATGCTCATGCCCTTTAGAAAGAGGACATTGTGCACACTTTCAAATGTGTGACGTGTGTGAGAAGGCACAGAAGCCAAGCAACAATGAGGTAAAATGAAGAGAATAGACTTCTTAGCATTGCAAGTACCATCTGTTCTGTAGAAACGCATCCTCTGTGTTGGCATTGCCACAGTGGTATGACATGTGTTATTACTTTTAATCATACTTTGTGCTGAAGAAAAGTCTGGTTACATGACAGATTCAGAGGTTGCAGACTCCCTCAGAGCTAGTGCCTGGAAATCCAAGACTACTTAGAGTGTTCAATATTTTTGTTTCTGAAATATAATGACCTATGTAAAATTATGCAACTGGGGACCAAGATACCAGGACAAGTATTAATATAAGACGAAGAAAGAAGACAGCATTTACATGAAAAAGATGACATTTTCTTCAAATTCTGGAAAACTGTATGCTGAGGAATTTGTCATAATTTTCCTAGGCTAACATTATGGACTATTACAGGATAATACTAGACACAAAAATGATGGAAAGATTTCTGTCCTGACTCAGACATTTTTGCCCAATTTACTAATTACAACAATGCTTTGTTTATCAAAACAAGGAAACAGTTCAAAGCCACTATGTAAACCAGTCCTTATTGAGACATCTGTTGTGAGGTCGTTGCATATGTAAGGAGGAAAAACTTACAGACCTAAACAATGGGTTTTTATGCATCATAATAAATTTGTTTATATAATTCACAAAAACACACATCTAATTCTTGTCTATTCTTAGCCACTGTCAGCTAATGTAGATGCAAGATGTTGTACTTAAGCATTAAATAGAGACACAATACTAATATGGACTGTCTTTTTTCAGTTGCTGAAGTATTAATAACCACTAGTCCTGGAATCACACATCCTAGTTCTGTTTGCACTGACAACCAAATGATGTCATATTTCTCTCTTGATTAGACCTCATTTTTATGTCATCAGTGACAATGACCTTTCAAGCACAGACATGCGGAGATATCTAACTTGAGCCTATGTGTTGTCAGGAGACTGTTACTAATATCTGGATCCCAGGATTTTCTGAAATGAGAAACAGCCTTTTGGTCTTGTGTTATATTCAAACAGCATGGCATCCAACTCATGTTATACAGTTATGATGCCCAAAACTACAGAAGCTTGGCAATTCACTTAGGAGCTCAAGTACTTTTTGAATGAAAATTAAACACCAGAGAACTGTTTCATTAGATAAAATATTTCAGTCAGTGCTGTTTTGAATATATTCCCAAAATATCTCTTCCATTACTATTTTTCCACATAATATTTGTTTGGTAAAATATTTCAATTTAAATGTTTATTTTTTAACATTCTAATTTGACTTGTCAAATTCTTCTCAGTAGATGCCCAAGCTGTAATTTTTTTAATTCTTCAGTACCCATTAGTATTCTATATCATGTAGAATTAATCATAACATACAATGTTATTTTTATAATATTGATTGAATGTGATTAATTAAAGAAAATTAGATTTTGTAAGTCTTTGTAATAATTTTTACTTGTTACTAGAATAAGCTAATAAAACTCAGATTATATGGCTTCAGAGACTTCATGAATCACCTGTGAAAGGACATTGCTGATTAGCATTTGCATTTAGGATCTTGTCTTGCACATTATTAAATTTGAAAAAAATGGTTTTGTAATATATTCATGTGTCTTCTAGCTGAGCCTTCAAAGCAGTGGCTATGTTGTAGTTTGCATATTAGCGCAGATGTAAATGAGCTCCTACCACTAAAAAAGCGACATAAAATGTGCAAATCAAAACATGTTCATCACAATTGCTTAATATAACTGCAGATAAAACATTAAACATTAAACACACATTTCTTTGGGAAAAAACAGCACCTTGCATTCTTTTAATCCTGTGGTTTTAATTCCCTTTGAAATCCCTGGAATTTCTACACTGAAGAAAAAAAGTGATAATACACTATTATTTATATGATTAGTCACATCATTCTAGTCTTTGGGAGATATAAAAGGGAAGAACTAAAATGCCCTGATTTCTAAACTCCAAATACACTGATTTCTTGCACTTAGCTTTCTCCAGAACTAACAACTAATATAGCAATTTACATATCTATTAATATGTTATGCAGGATGTTATGTGACAGTTTTGAGAAAAAACATGGGTCATGTCCTCCACTTCAATACTATCTTTAAATCCAAAGTGAACAGAAAATGTGAAGTTCAACTTATGATAAGCCTTTCTAAACACAGAGATATTCAACAGATTCAGGATCCCTCCCATTTTGTTGTCTGGTTTTCAATTAAGTTCTTATGAGGCTTAGTCGCTGCAGCTGAAATTTTCTGGAAAATATGTTCAATTTTTCTACAGACATAGTGAACATTTCTGAACATTTTTGATGGTGGTTAAATCACTGAACTTCAATCAGTGACATATTTTGTGTTTGAGTAAGTTGCCTTTTGACTAGTTGTAGAAATCTATGCTTTTGGAGGTTACAGAACCAGGTTCTAGAATTTCTTCTTCCTCTGGTATGATTTATGTATTGCCCAACTCCAAAGTGTGACTCCAATTTGTTCTTTGGGTGGCAGAAAAACAATCTCTCTTAAAACTAACAGGCTTCACAGTTTATGCCTCCATAATCTACTGATTAAGACACAAAGCCCAGGAAATAAGAAATTCTGATGGATAATTACTGAAAAAAAGATTCCCAGGCTTTGAATCTTACTCGAAATAAATGGCTGCTGATGGTGGTATTAGAATCTGCAGATACTGGCATGGGAAATAGGACCTCTCATTCCTCACGGTGGCTTAATATTTTGTCAGAAAGCACTCAGTTAAACAATCCATACGTCTACATTTTCACTTGCTCCTTTAGCTGAACAGTTTGCACCGAGTGCAATATCAGGTGCCCAGCTTGACCTGCAACCTTCTCTGAAATCAGGCCACCCCATTATGGCCAGAGCTTTGATGCAATCCTCACAGGCTTTCCCAAAATGCATGGATTACAATTATTCACTCCAGAGGCTGCACATATCCCTGTGCTGTGTTTCCTCCAGCAGTGCTTGAAAATGTGCTATTATTGAAAGAGTTAAAAAAAATCCCCTTGGAAAAGCTAATTATTGCATGCAGATACTTCTTTGTGTGATCAAGGAGGGGACAATTTAATAGGCTCTGTAATACAACCAAGAACAAAATTGCTTTAAAGGAAGTCTCTTGTTGAGTGACAACTCTGTTGCCTGAGCCAATTAGGTCCCAATAAAGAGTGTTGAATTGGCTCCTGCTTTCTCATTAATTATGTTCTGTCACAGACATGGGGCTTGATTTAGCAATTTTGTATTACATTAAGATACTGAAAGGAATGGAACAAATGGCTCACTCTGATAATAGGCATTCTATACACGGTGTGACATTTACTATCCAGCTGTCCATAAGGCAGCCTAGCACTTCAGTTCAGGGGTTTATTTGTCATTGCTTCAAAGGGACACTCAGCTTTTCACAAAAAAGAAACAGAGAGGCTAATAGATAGGACAAAATGTACTGCTGATATGCTTTATTAGAGATAGGATGCTAGGGTTTTGCTAACAAGCTCATCCGTTGGGACTAAGCCGAGTTTGCTGTCAATCATCCTACACACAAAAGCACACTAGTTAACAAGGAGAAATGAATTACAGACACTTATTCCTGCCTGTGGGATCACAAATACACCAATCTGTGAAAGAGGCACAAACTCAGAAGACAAACTACATATTTGTCAATAACCTCCTAGAAAGAACCCTAGTAATTCTTTGAAGACCTTTGATTTAGCTTCCCTCTAAAATACATGTATAGGAAATGTTTTAGTTACCATGACATTTTCCTTTGTTACTTGTACAATTTTTCATCACATTAAAAACAGAAAACTGAGGAGGTCTGCAAATGTTGTGCTAGGTATATACACTGCTTTTTATACCAAGCCACAGGGGGCAGCTACTGTTGTAATATTCATTAATAGCAACAGAAAATTAAATCTCAAAAACTTTAGTTTCAGGCTATCTTGAATCAATGTGTAGAGCATAATCTAAATCCCAATTTATGTCTTATATAATAATTAAAGTAGCAGGATTTTTTTTTAGGCTCGGCCTATTTTTTCACTCTCCATTATGTATTTTCAAGCAGAGTTTTGATCCATTGTTTGCATTACACTTGCAAGTTCAGATTCAATGTGCAATTCAATAAGCACACTGTTTCAAAAAAGCTTTGTTTATGTATGCAAGTAAATATTATTAATGCATATATTTATGTGCATTTATGAACTTAGACATGACTGTTTGACCCTGATTACATCTTCTTGTCACAGCATTGCCATTTATTATGTAACATATCCCGTATGACTGATTTCAACAAGAAATGAAAATCCTTAGGAAACTGGGAATTTCT